ACTACCACACCAGAAGAGGAGGTGATTCCCATAACAAGTCAGACACCTAAGAAAGGAGGGACCTGAGGGCCACCAGAACCTCATCGGGGTCTTTGCTAGCACCGCAGGAGGGTGACCGTGCTACTGTATCCTGCTGAAACACATGATGAGCTGTCAGCTGCAGGTGTGGGCTACACATATCTACTCATTCTTTTTTTTTTTTTTTTTTTTTTCGGGGATTGAACTCAGACCCTTGCACTTGCCAGGCAAGCACTTATTCTACTGAGCCATCTCCCCAGCCCTATTCATTCTCAACATGGGTCCTGATGGCCACATACAAATGTGGCAAGAATATGACTCCCGCTTGGAATAATTATTTGTAATGCACATGACAGACATCACATGCAAGGGTTACACACACATATATGTATACACAGATCTGTGACATCTGTGTACCTATCATGTATGTTCATGTCATCAATGCATATTAATGCACAATATATACTACATGATATGATTAATCCATTGACTATATATAATTGATACATATTACATATATTAAGAGTACTTAAAGTTTGAAAGTGATAAAACCCTCTCTTCAGAGGAAAAATATAATCAGGGGAAATGAAAGAGAAAATTTACAAAAGAAGTAAAATAACTTGTAGAATTGAGATATCACCTTCTACCTCTCAAAGAAGATTTTAAAAAATAAATAAATAAAAGGTATAATGTCCAACACTTAGGAGAGACACTGCAAGTACCACTGCTGATGACAATGTAAATTGATACATTTTCCTAGAGGAGAAGTGAGCAATATATTTTAAAGGTTCTAAAAATACACATACTCTACAATCAATAGGGACTGGGGAGATGGCTCAGTGGAATAAGCGCTTCCCTGGCAAGCTCAAGGGCCTGAGTTCAATCCCCGGTTCCAGGAAAAAAAAAAAAAAAGGAACTGGAATCAAAAAACAATGCCTCTAGACATTTAACTTTATTTATTCTTTTTATTCATTCAGACTCATTTTTTTAAAATTAGCAAACATATGTCAAAGCATAAAGAAAATTCAACAGTGGTATAGGCACCTTGTCAAATACAATGGTTTTCATAAACACTAAAAATTAAACTTTTGTATACATAATTTAAAAAATAATGAAAACTGCAAGTGTATACTATTGGCTGTTGTTCAACCCCTCAAATACAATTAGGACATAATTAGCTATTTAAAAATTTATGAAATTTAATAGAAAACTTTCGTTATGGATTTAGTGTTACACACTTTGCATTAAATTTGCCTTTCAGAATCAAAACACCATGGCTCTTTCTTAAATAGCCAAAAAAAAAAAAAAAAAAAAAAAAAAAACAGATTAGAAATGCCACAGAGGTTTTAATAATAATTATGGTTTTTTAAAAAAAATTACAAACTTTAAAGGCCAATAATGTTTCCTATTGTATCTTCCTTTGGCTTTCTTGTATCAGGACAAGCAAATGCCATTACCAAGCTATCTTGTTAAGACATAAGGGCCACGTTATTACAAAATTATTTCTAAATTCCAAATTTATTCATTGTTAACACTCAGCTAATTAGAGAAAACAACACTAAATTTAATTCATCACAATATGTTTGGTCTACAGTTCACATGTGCTATCTTAGAGGATATAAATTATCAATAAAATTTCAATTTTCTATGAGTTTCAGAACAAGTATTTGACTATTACCAGCAAAACCTTAAGTGTTTTGTTAGACATTTAACTTTAAAAAGTAACCATGAATATACTCAAAGATTTGGTTTTTATCATAACTTATTAAGGTAGAAAATCAAAAGCCTAAACATCCAACAGTAGGAGACTATTTAAAAAAATGATTTTCATATGACAGGAAACAAAGCTAATAAAATATTATTAAATAATAGGTTGCCAAGCATTATGCTTGCATTTGGCTAAAGAATTACTATGTGTGTATACAAAACTGTACACCTGTAATCCCAGAGCTTGGGAGGGTGAGACAGGAGGATTGCCATGAGTTCAAAGCCAGCTTTGACTACATAGTGAGTTCAGGACCAGCCTAAACTATACAGTGAGACCCTGTCTCAAAAAAAGTACTCAAAAATACATAAAAGAAACATTAATATTCAGCACTGAGTGATAAAATTATAGGTGATTTTTGTTCTTTTTTATTATCTGTTTTTTTCTAAAATATCTGCATTGGCCTAAAATTACTAAAACGTTTCTTATCACATTAATTTCTACCTTGTCAAGAGTTATGTAGAAACATATCATACCACTCCAAGAATATAGATCCTCTAAGTGCAGTTCCTACACATGATATAGCTTCATAAACTTGCCATTGTATTAGCTTAACTGTCTTGAAAGATTATAATTATTATTTATTGAATGTTTTTATGTGGCAAGCATGCTCTGAACTGGATCTTTTAATAAAATAAAATTTTAAAAACCTCTCATAGCCTGTGTGGTGTTGCATGCCTGTAACCCCAGCACTTGGGAGACTGAGGCAGGTGGATCCTTTTGAGTCCAGACCAGTTTGAGCTACACAGAGAATTCAAATTACATAGAGAGACCCTGTCTCAAAAAACAAAAAAGAAATACATAAAATACATCCATAAAAATAGAAAAAAAAAACTTCGTTGAAGGAGGAGCCAAGCAATGGCTGTGACTCATCCACATGGCTCACACTGA